CTGCTTGCGAATTACTTTATAATACGATTTATGAAATTTTTGAGTGTACTATCCCCAAATATCATTTCAAAACTTATCATCATAAATATTATCCTCCTTGGTTTAACTCTGAAATCCTAAATTGTATTCGTAATAAATCTTTAGCTCATCGCAAGTACATAAAGCATAAATCTACACATAATTACAATATTTTTAAATACCATCGATCTCAACTAAAAAGGATGATTAAGAATGCATACAAAATTATATATCAAATATGGAGGATAAACTGCATATAGATCCAAAAAAGTTTTGGGAGTATATTAACAACAAAAAAGGCCATTCGTGAATCCCCGGCTTAATGAAATATAATAACGAAGAACTCAACTCTCCGAATACAATTGTTGACGGTTTCGTAAATTATTTTAATGGAGTCTACACAAATTCTAATCCCAATACAACTGCCAACGACTATGAAATCAATCCATCGCTACTAGTGAATATCAATAATATTTCACAAAAAGAAATTAAAATATGTTAAAAACAATTGATAATAATCCTCAGCAAGTAGATACTATTCATTTTGACTTTCAGAAAGCGTTTGATCAAATTGATCACTTTATACTACTCGACAAATTAAAAAGATTTGGATTTTCAGGCCTTTTATAGTTATTTACGTGGCAAGCTTTACGGGCGAGCCGGAATGTTTGCAGGGCGAGCGACGTAGGAGCGAGCTCTGTAATCCGGTGAGCCCCAGTAAAGGCTAGTTGCAAGCGAGCCGCGTACAACGTTTTACTTCCTCTTGCTGAAAATCCTGAAAATGAACAACTTTGGCATCTCTAGAAATTTTACTTCAAATTATAGTCATAGAAATTATAGTCATTTTTCATAGTTTGCTCCGGTAACTATGGAAAATTGAATTGTTTGAAAATAACGGGGCTGTCAATTTGTAAATTCGATTAATAATTTAAATAGTTTAATTTTGTTTCTGAGCTCTGTTAATTGTGGAATTCGATGAAGATGAAGAGTTTGAAGGTGATTTTAACGTTAGTATTAGCACAGTATTAGTGAGATTAAGAAAAAGGCCGACGCAGCGAATGTGTGTTTGATTCCGGTGCTGTCATGACAACGTTTTACAGGCAAGGTGCCTGTAAAGCTGCCACGGTAACGCTTTACAGGCAGGGTGCGTGTAAAGGCTAATTTACCGAGTTAGTTCAGACGACAGTAAACGAGCTTTAACAAGACAAGAGGAAGTAAAAACTTTTTTGCACTCATGACCTTTTTTGATAGCTTTCGCGCATTCACCAGAGTGCGGGAGGTCGAACTTCCCGCACACGTGCATTTAACTTCCCGTTGCCATGGTAACCTTAAAATACTCGGGTAGTGTCAACATTGTGACGTGTTGACGGCGCTGTCAATGGCGTTGTTTATAAATAACTCACAGTTAATCTCTTCAGTTTAAAGGTTTATTCGTAGCAAAAAATATTGTACACAACACGTTCGTGAGCCTGCTTCCCGCATTCACGCAAATGCGGCACTCCCTTCGGTCGTGCCTCAAACAAGCGTTCATGCGGGAAGCAGGCTATCCCGAACTAGTTGCGTAAATTACTATTTCAATCATACTTATTTAATCGTGAACAATATGTCAAATATCGCAATTACAAATCGAATATTATCAAGCCCGCCTCTGGTGTTCCGCAAGGCTCTAACCTGCTTTTCCTACTTTTTATAGATGATCTTGGAGACGTTATTTCATGTCAGAAATTATTTTTTGCAGACGATCTTAAATTGTATTTAAAAATTGCCTCAACATTGGACTGTCAACAAATACAATAAAATATATGCTCAGTATGCGACTGGGCTTCCAAAAATAGATTATCTTATCGTTAAACAAAGATAAATGCTTTACTATGACCCACTCTAGAAAAAAGGAGAACATCATTTTTCCCTATCGAATCGACAACAGTTTGATAAATAGAACTGAAAGGATTAAAGATCTAGGTATACTCTTTGATACTAAACTTCAGTTTATAGAGCACATTCATGAGATGGTACCTAAAAGTTTTAGAACTTATGGATTTATCTACAGAAATTGCCGAGATTTTACTTATACACGAACCTTGTGTCCTCTATTGTTTTCTCTAGTGCGATCACAACTTGAATACGGAGCTTTAATTTGGTTCCCAATATATCAGATTCACATTCAACATATTAAACACGTCCAACGTGTTTTTTTTAAATTTCTATGCTTTCTACTTGATGGTACTTACCCAGCAAGAGGCTATGAACATTCTGCTTTACTCTCAAGATTTAACTTTTTACCTCTCCACTTAAGGAGAATTATAATAATAATAAAATTTTTAATACATCTTATAAATAATAAAATAGACTGTCCGTCACTTTTAGAACAACTCAATTTTTTAATTCCAGGGATTAATACTAGACAAAGTAAATTATTCTATTGTGAATCAAGCAGAACCAACGTATTAGTAAGATCGCCTATTGCATTAATGTGCGAATTATTCAATGATATTGCCGCCTATTGTGATATTTATAGTGACTGTATTAAATTCATACAAATTGTATTAAAAACCATTTCCGTTAAATAGGTTTATTTTTAGTTTTTTTTTCTTTTTTAGGGTTTTTTGGTTTGTAATCAATATTATAATTATTTTGTTATCTTTATGTATTCACTCTCACTCTATTAATCAATTATTTGTCAATATTTCCTGTAACTGGGTGTAAATATCGCAGGAAATAAAGATTTATTATTATTATAAATTGATACGAGGCCATGCAACAATTGACTAATTGTCATTATTGCTGACAAATGTCATTCTTAAGACAGCACCTGCTAAAATTTCGTGCAGATTCTACGTTCCGTTATCATTTTATAAGCATTTGAAGAGATCACTTTTTGAGTTAGAAAAAAAAAATCCAAAAAACAAGTTTCGTACCGTGATTAAACATTTTTATTTGAAGAAGTGGACGACCGCGCAGATTAAAGCGAAACTGGAAGAAGTTCACGGGGACTCTGCACCGGCCTTCAAAACCATTTATTTTTGGATACAAAAATTCAAACGTGGTCGCACATGTACCGAAGATACATCGCCTTCTGGACGCCCAGTGGAAGTTGCCACCAAAGAAGTTATTGAAAAAGTCCATGGTATCGTGATGGGAGATCTCCGAATCAAGATACGTGAGATAGCTGAGATTGTGGGCATCTCAACTGAACGGGTTCACAACATTTTGCACGAACAATTACATATGAAAAAACTCTGCGCAAGAAGGATGGCAAGGTTTCATCGCAACCCGCAGGACTTTTTGCGTAGATTTGTGACTGTGGATGAAACTTGGATCCACCATTACACGCCAGAGTAAAAAAATCAGTCAAAATAGTGGACACAGGCTGGTGAGAATGCTCCAAAGAAGACGAAGACCGTTTTGTCTGCGGAAAAGTTGATGGCTACTGTTTTTTTGGGATACTCAAGGGATAATTCTGATAGACTACCTGCAGAAGGATCAGACGATAACAGGAGCATACTACGCTGCATTCCTGGATCGTCTGGATGTTGCGTTGAAGGAGAAACGTCCGAGACTGGCACACAAAAAAGTGCTTTTCCATCAGGACAATGCACCACAAATGCGCAATTCTTTGAATTGGGTTATGAACGGATTCCTCATCCACCCTATTCTCCCGATCTGGCCCCTTGCGACTTTTTCCTGTCGGAAAATGAAAGCTGATTTATTTAAAATTACTGCACTTTCAACCCGTTACAATCTAAACGTTCCCAAACGAGTTTCTTTTCTCGGAAAATATTTTGAAACTGTCTTGTTCTTGTGGGGAAAAAACATTTTTTGTAAAATTATTAAGTATATGTCTTACAAACTTATTGAACTCTTTGAATCTTAAATTTCTTCACAAATTTTCGCCTGATGACGAACTCAAAAGTTTGGAAAAACAATTCAATTAATAAATGAAAACCACTTAATTTTTCTTAAAGTGAAAAATATGAGACAATGACGCTGCTATCATATCGTAATCAAATAAATAACAAAGCTTCAACTGCTAAGCAAACGATTTTTAGGGAAAAAGACGGTGTCAAATATTTGTTTTGTTCAGAGAATATTACCGTGATTGAGTAGTGAAGTTTTAACAGCAAAAACAATGTGAAAAGTTTTAAAAAACACATGTACCACTTTGAAACTGATTCTGTTTAAGGACAATCAGCTCAAATAAGTTCTTATTCTTAAAATATCGACATGTAAAGATCGACGAAAGCTTTAGTTCGTTTACAACTTTGACTTCATAAGTATTTTACAGGGGAATCCCATAAAATTCAATCAATGCAAGCACTGGCACGTGACAGAGACGGTTGGGTACGCCAAGTGCCGCATTGAAATAATGGGAAAGGTCTTTCGAGGCAAACGGATTTATTGCACCCCACTGTGATGAACTCGTAAAATTACTTCAAGATGATTAGCAAGTAAGCCATAACCGCACTAAAACTTTTCGCGAAGTTTCATACCCTGAATGATACGAAAACATTTACGTCTGTTTGTCTATCTGCTTGTCGATAATTTTATTGGGCAAGTACAGTGGTGGATTTACATAAGGGGCACGAGGGGCATGTGCCCCGGGGCGGCACCTTACAGGGGGCGGCAAGCGGATAAAATTTTAAAATTGAAATATCCCGTAAAAATGATAATTAACTTTTAAAGATCTCATATAACGGAACAATTGACCACCTAAGCAAGATTACTCAGCTAGTCTACTTATTACAATTTTGTCAAGCGATGGTGTAGGTGTGGAATGTGCAGATGTGGTAACTTTCTCTTTCTCCGATAACGGGGTTGGGGTGATCTGTAGCATGAGCATCATCTGTGCTTTCGGTTGCTCGGTTCACGTTCTTTCTTCTTTCTGGTTCTTGCGGTACTGTGTGCTGTGATAGTCAATTTGAAGACTAGGGTTGTACAAAAACAGTTAACTTGTTACATATTGTCATCAGAAGTTTGGCAACATGAGTGAAAAACGGCGTAAATTAAGTGGTGCTGCATACAAGAAAAAGGCACATGAAAAGCAGGAAAAACAGAATAAAGTTTTGTTAAACGTGCCTAAGCTTGAGACTTTTTTTAATAAAACTGAAAAAGAGAAACTCTGCCATACAGAACTTACAGAAGAGACTGAAGTTGAAGAAAAACAAATTTCGGTAGCTGATGACGTTGACAAAAATGGTAATCTATACAATTTATATTACATTTCTAAATAATAAGTATTAGACGTTTTTTCGATATTTACCTACAGTTTTCAGTTCTAATTTATTACTCGTATAATTCGTCTTTTCAGCGACAACAAATTTACCCGACGATCACGTTGAAGATGACCTGAGTTCACAAGATTTTCAACATGATGCGCAAACAATCAAAAACGCAAGTGTAGATACAGATAATCCTCAGAAAGATTCTGATCCTGCCTATTTACTTGACACCGATCCAGCTAACTGGATTATTGATGAAACCTTGCGTAATTATGTGGCTCAATATGGATACAGTCAAAATCAAAATGCCGATTTTTCCCAAACTAAGCGCATTTATAGTAACGGAGCAACAAGGTATTTATCTCCTGCCTTGTTTGTCAGGACTCTACTTAATAAGGAGAAAAAACCTCGTGCTTGGCTTATTTATTCTCCAGTTAAGCAAACACTTTTCTGTGCTCCCTGTTTACTTTTTGGCAACACGACCTCTTTTTCAAATGCTGAAGGGTTTAATGATTGGAAACATTCATTTGAAAGAGTTACTGATCACGAAAATTCCAATAAACATAAAGAATGTGAAAGACTTTTAAGAGCACGATCAAGGAACCAAGGTCGGATTGACCAGAAATTATCTGCTGCAATTGACGAAGAAGTTAATTATTGGAAAAATGTTTTGCGAAGAGTTGTGTCGTGTGTAAAATCATTAGCGTCGCGAGGACTTTCTTTCAGAGGACATGATGAAAAATTTGGATCCACGCACAATGGAAATTTTATGATGCTCCTGGAATTATTAGCAGAATTTGATCCATTTTTAGCAAATCATATAAATAGATTCGGTAATAAAGGTAGCGGTAGTACAAGCTATCTGTCAAAAACTATTTATGAAGAGCTTATTCAATTAATGGCGAAAAAAGTTTCAACTGCAATTGTCAAGGAAACAAAGGAAGCAAAATATTATTCCATCATTGTAGATTCCACCCCAGATATTTCCCATGTCGATCAACTTACATTTATCGTACGATACGTGAAAAACGATGGTTCTGCCGTAGAACGTTTTTTAACTTTCATCGAAAATCCGGGACACAAAGCCGAGGAGCTCGCAACTGCAGTTTTTACCAGGCTTTCAGCTTACGATATTGACATAGCTGATTGTAGAGGTCAGTCTTATGATAACGCAAGAAACATGTCAGGCATTTACACAGGACTACAAGCAAGAATTAAGGAAATAAACCCATACGCTGAATATGTTCCTTGTTCAGGACATTCGCTAAACTTGGTTGGCAACTGTGCAGCAGAATGTTGTTTAGAAGCAGTGAAATATTTTCGAATGGTTCAAAATTTATACAACTTTTTTTCTGCTTCCACACATCGATGGAAAATTTTAAACTCATTTTCTGACACACAAAACGTCAGAGTAAAATCTCTTTCCGTTACGAGATGGTCGGCGCGAAGTGATGCTGTACGCTGCCTAACAAAATTTTGGCCACAAATTTATAATTGTTTACTTAAAATAGAACAAGACGAGTTTGAAAAAGCAAGTACACGAAGCGAAGCTGAAGGAATCAAGTCTCAAATGGAATGTTTAGAAACTGCATTTTTGCAAAATTTGTGGGACTTTTTACTTTCACGATTTAATTCAGTAAGTAAAAAGGTACAAAGTGTCGATACAAGTATTATTGAAGTTATAGATCTATTATACCAAGGATTAATTAAGTTGGTAAATGATACACGAGACCAATTTCATTTTTACGAAGAAAAAAGCATTCAAATATCTATTCAGAAAACGTATGAAGCTGAAACTAGTCGTAAAAAAAAACGTAAACTGCATTTCGATGAAATCCAAAACAACGAGATTGAAATGACAGCTCAAGATAGCTTCAGAATAAAAACATTTAATGTTATTTTGGATTGCTTGAAATCAAAATTAATACAAAGAAACGACAGCTATAAAAAAATTAACGAAAAATTTTCTGTAATTACAGAACTTAGACATTTAGATGCAAAGAGTGTACGCGAGAAGTCAAAATCTTTGCAAAGTTTTTTTAGTTTAGATTTAGAGGATTCGTTGGAAGATGAAATGCTTCATTTTCAAGCACACTGCGCCGAGAAGAATCTTGGTAACATATCACCTATTGATTTGATGAAATTTCTTCGTAAAAATGAACTTGATTCCGTGTTTCCAAACGTAGATATTGCATACCGGATGTTTGTATGCACGCCAACCAGTAATTGCAGCGCTGAGAGGTCTTTTTCAACTTTAAAAAGGGTGAAGAACTATCTGAGATCCACAATGACTGAAGACAGACTAAATTCACTTGCTGTGTTGACGATCGAGTCTGAAGTTTTATTATCATTAGATTTCGATGATATCATTGAACAATTCGCCTTCCAAAAAGCAAGACGCAAGACATTTTAGAACTAATGGCTTGTTTTTAGTCTTAATTGTAATGATTTATATTGTAAGACCTAAAATAGAATTTTATTAATTTAGTACATAAATTTAATTTTTGTTTCTTAATTTAACCCCTAAAATATTTTGAGGTTGAGTCAAAGGGGCGACAGAATTGTAGTGCCCCCGAGCGCCCAAAACGTAAATCCGCCACTGGGCAAGTAATAATTTTCGACATTATTTGATTGTTGTGAAATTTTAGGTACACTTTAAGGATTACGAAAAACGAGATTCTTTAATATTATCAAAGATCATTATCAATAGAACTGTATTAATTTCACATAGACGTGTAAACATGTCGAAATATACTTTTAAATCAATCACCCGAGATTTCTCAAAACTGGTTTCCTTTTCTAGAACTGTTCTGTACTACTTTTGACATTTTAGTTTACAAACTGTACACAGCAAAGAAGGCTTTTCGTGATGAGCATTTTTTTATAAGTAGGTGACAATGTATAATAACATTTTACAATTTAACTTTGAAACTGCACTGTGAAATCTTCCAAACGTTTTCGTAAGCATGATAAATCGTTAATCATATGTAATTTATCCGGTCATCGCTCCAAAATTGATGACGTCATGTCAAAATTTTGCTAAATAAATCCTCAATAAATCATCCAAAATAGTATGAGTCTATGCTTGTGGTTTATTAAGGAATGCATATTTTTTTAATTGCTTATACAGGATGTTTCAAAAAATTTAACGAATGGGGCAGTTAATTTCTTTTATTGATCAAATCAAAAACGGCTGACCCCATTTTTGAGAAAATTTGGTAATATAGTACTTCTATTATTACTATTATTATTAGTTTTATACATATATCACACAAACAAAATTTTGTAATGGAAAAACTTACAGGAAACACACGCATAGTATGTTTCTTTACCTTTATTTTAACACTACACACATATCTTTAAGGGGTTATCTTTAAAAAAAAAAATAAAATACGTAAAATCAAATTTTGTAATTTTTCAAAAAAGCTGAATATGTATGCATTGTCCTCCAGGAGTGAGGAAAGTTCTGTAGAAATAATCCTGTTTGTGAAAGCGGCTGAGGCTGCCGCACCTGTTCATACCATCATCTAGAACGATTATATGAGTAATTCGCGATATCATATCTCTAAACCTTCCTAAATTAAATACTTAGTACGATAAGAACAGTAAGCATTTTTTTATTTTTTCTGTGAAATATTTATGAGAAATAAGTAGGTATACATAGGTTTCGATATTTTTGACCTGAAAGAATTTTATCATTAAAGATGTATTTGGTACAAGTACGACGCGTCAATTTATTTGATTCACTGAAAACTACCCCTGTTTAGGTTAGCTTAAAACGAAAGGTCCAATTGTGCCCATGGCATTGTTGCTAATGCCATTTTAACCAAATAGCATGAATTTCTACTATTTGTTAAACCAAATATCCATAAATTGGATTAATTATAAAAAATACTGTTTTATTTCATTACGTATTTGTAAATTTATAATCATATATAGCTTTTTACTAATAGTGTCACTTATTATTATCACTTGTTTGTTCACCTTGCGACAAGTGTACGTCCTATACAAAATAAAATTAATTTTATCTTATCACTATCGATGTGTAGGTCCCGAGGTGTAACTCAATAGTAACAAATTCCTATGACAATGTCTTTGATCCAGTATGTTCTGGTAGTTATGATAAGTATAATAGTGTCCATTCATGCCCAGAAATTAGCCAAACAAAAAATTCGTAAGTTCCAAGACTTTCAAGACTTCATATCTGTCTTTTCGTTACGTTTTATAAATACCTTCCTAACGATATGTCCACACCCTATATATCTACTTTTGTTTCAGAATCCTATGCGTCATGTAGAACTGACAAAGACTGCAAAGAGAAAGCATTCTGTTTTGGTAACGACGATGATACAGATGGAAAGTGTAAATGTCAGAAAGGATATGAATTAATTAGAAATACTACATTTTATGAATGCTTGCCAGGTAAATCAATCATTAATATTTCATAACTACATAACATCAAATGTTATATTGTCGTAGATATATGTTACGATTAGGCTATTTGACCTCTTCTTTATATATGTAGCTTAAAAAAGTGATCATTCGTCCGATGGACAGGATTACTATACTTCCTTAGCTTATGCTCAGGATCTAAAAAGCAGTTTATCCTATTTTATAAATATCACGTTCAAAAACACTTACAAATATGGCAGTAAAACCTAGAACTATATTAAGTTTCATCGATTTTGTGTGCTTCCTCGAGAGTCCGTTTTGAAAATACTTTTTTTCATAGTACGTAGATGTAGAGGATGTGTGATCTAAGATTTGACAGTTGTTCTTTTTTTTATAAGATACCGTATTATCATACTACATCGATTATAAGAAGTATATTTTTACGTTTTTTGATATCTTTGTATTCATGGTGTGTCTTTTATTCTATGGCGTTTCACCATCTACATGATGTTCCTAATATTGGTACATACAAAATTTGACAACAATCGATCTTGTAGTTTCGGAGATTATCAGTCTAATAAAAGTCGGCACAGACAGACAGACAGACAGAGTGACAGGAGAAACGAGATACTGACAAGTCACTTACACTCGGGAAGTAAAAAATAATTTAAGAAATAAATATCTAAATGAGAAAACTTAGAAAAATATTATATTGTTCAACGAGTGAGAAAACTGGACATTGCACGAAGATGAGAGTTTCCGGAACGAGCCAAAGGAGAGTGGAGGAACTCATCCGAGTGGAATGACCAATTTCTCACGAGTTTAACACTATACTTTTTCTGCTCATGCAATCAAGAAAATAAAGACAAAACATCAAGAATTATTTTTATTAACATTAATGGTGACGTGTAAACAAAACATAACCAGCCTAACGCATGGACGAGTTGAATTTTTATTACGGGTGATGGTGGGGAATTCTGGAGAAAAGGAAATGTCGCGTTCTGATTGGACAAAAGCTGTGGAGAAAAGTGATCATTCTTTAATAGATTGGTCAATTTACTCAATCCAAAATGCAGTAAAAATTTAACATTTTTTCAATATGAGCAGGAAAACATATTTTTTTAAGAATCTTAAAAATAAAAATCAAATTAAAATTATTCATAATTTCATTCATAATGGTAGCTAATGTTTCCTTAAAATTTAGTTTTTTTATAGCAATGAAGATAGGAGACCCCTGTGGGAAAGATATACAATGCCAAGTTACTGCCGGAGACTTGGCCTTTTGCGATAAATATAAAATATGTTCTTGTAATGATGAATCCCATGCATATGAAGGAAGGTGTGAGTACAAAGCTAGTAAGTATATACTTGATTTTATTATAAAATAAACAGCAAGTATTTTGTCCGCCCCCAAGTAATTTCTAGTTTTTAATAATAAAACTATATAACTATACTGATTCCAAAATTGCGTAGTGTGTAATTTGCACTAAATGTTGGATTAAGTAGTTTATAAAGAAGAATAGGAACACGTTTCAGAATGTGTTGACAGTGCTGATGTTAAGTTCCTATAAAAAACAAGAAATATCAATAGCTACGAATATATTCTATCAATAATCAGGAATAAACATAATTGACGATACATCCTTTATCCTAATAAATTGGGCTAATGTAAAGTAGGTCCGCAAAAAAAGGCTGCAGTGAGAAATTTGTGGAAAAGAAACCTAGAGGAATTCCGACTTTAGTATCGAAGTAACGTTGAAAAAAAAAAAAGGGAACTGACATGTTTTAATGAGAAGAAGTTCTACAACAATCCTACTCGAAATGAAAAAGAAAGACAAAAAAAATATTGCATTACAAGAGTAAAGTTTAAATACGAAAATCATGGACCAAATTTAAATAAAGTTCTAGAATGTTTTGTGGGAAAGAGGAGTTAATTGGTGGGGTATTATGAAGGGAGCAAAGGGAGAACTTTTCCACAAAATTCTAGGATATGTGATAATTATAATATGTTATAATCATCTCCTAATGATATCATCTCCTAATGAAGAACATTGTTAACATTCACCCGTCAATGATTTTCTTCTCAAAATTTTCCCATGATAGGTAATTGTCACGTCTTCGTTATCATTACAGGAAGAACTTCGTTTCCGAGAATTTTACTACAACATGATGGCTTGGATATTTCTTATAGTTTCCACGTTCTGTATTTACTTTTTTCTTAATAAAGGACCAACCCTGCACTATTAAAATACTCCAAATTTCAATTTTTAGAACTCTCTTCAATACGTTGTCAACTGACTCTCTTCTATAATTCTAAACGTAAACTCACAGTCTCACACCGAACTCCAAATAATGGGTGACCACTAATGATTGAAGCGTGGACCCAACTAACAAAATTTTTGCGTTCGTAGAAATGTAACGATTAATAAGTGTTCTGACAATTGGACTGTGTTATAATAAAAGTTATAGAATGAGTTTTGTTTTTAATTTTTTAGCCAATATTGGAGAAAATCGTGTCAAAAACTAGATCAGTCATTTTTAGAACACCTCATTGAAAGTTAAAAAAAACACACCGCATTGTTCTATGTTCTATTTGAAATTTAATATCAATTATATACTATTTTTCGCTAGAGATTGGTGAAATATGCATGGGAGATGGGAACTGCTACCTAGAAAATGGTACACCAGGGGGAGGTCTAGGTTTCTGTACAGATGGCCGTTGTAAATGTGGTCTAAATCAAAAACATTCAGCAGACAGAACTAAATGTCTCAACAGTAGAAAACTTGGTGAACCTTGCGTTGCCGACGAAGAATGTACTGCTACAACTCCTAATACTAAATGTTCTGAAAAGTGTATATGTGATCCAGCATACACAGAGGCAAGAAATGCATCTACTTGTGTTAAAGGTAAATTATGGTTTGATGTAGACATATTTAAAAACAAAAACCTGTGATACAAATAGTAATTTTTGCGTAGAAGAAAGTTTTTGTTTCTGTAGTTATTATTACTTTTCTTATCGTAGCTGCCACACAGTTTGATGAACCGTGCGACTCTGATGGACAATGTTCAAAATATTTAAAAGAAAGTATTTGCAATGGTAACAAATGTGGATGTGAAACCGGTTTTCATGGTTATACGCTGAAATGTGTAAAGACGAAAAAACCAGGACAACCATGCGAAGAAGATGCAGAATGTTTGTATGAAAAGAAATTATATGAAAATGTTAAATGTCAGGATAAGATGTGCAAATGTTTGTATGGAAATGATGGTGATGGTTCTTGTAAAATTGAGAAAACTGATAATAGCTCTGCCTCTCAGCTTACGTATGGTGTAGTTTATTTCGAAATTTTATTTATTTTAGTACGACTAGTATTGAGAGAATACTTTTAAAATAAATTTTGTGTACTCTATATTTACGCTTATTTAAATAAACATTTAAAAAAAGACACTGGTAACACACATCAAAAAATTCATGTCATGTTTATTATAGCGTAGCCTTACTATCGCAACCGATAATTTTCAAAGCAGTGTAGCGCGATCATTTAGGCAGAAATGTCGCAAAGGCCTAAAAATAGAATACCTATGCATTTTACATTTGACACATTTTTAAGTCTCAATAACCTTAAAGTTATTTTTTAAGGGCTGGTGATGGTTAAAATTTACTTTACTTATTTCACTGTTCTTGTTTAGTGTAGCTGAGCTCAATTTGCACTCACGTCCCAGGCAACAAAGTTATAGTGAACCAAGACCTATAAGGTTATATGGCCATCATAAAAGTAGTTGACCGCAAATAAATACCCCCTTTGTGTAGTTCGCACTAAGCTTACCGGTTGGCAATAAATCACCTTCTAAACATTTCTTGCTCATATTTAACAGGGTCGGCTTTCAAAGCGAGTGGTTATTTCGGAACCCTCAGCGGCTGCAGGTAGTAAAGAAATAGTGGAGTGGTGGATTTTCATATTTAGTGAAAGCCGCCCCTGAACGAAACCACAAGAGCCGGTCGAGCTGTAGTGGACACGTTATTTACGACCCTAAAACCTTTTCTATTGTAAACAACTTAACTTCGACACAATGGGATGATTTTATGATGGCCATATAACCTTATAACTCTTGGTTCACTATACTTGAGTGGTAGTTTTTCAGGGCTACAACTCAACAGGGTAGTTTAGTGGGCAGTTTTTCTACACTTATACAGTTGTAGGAATAACAAAATGATGAGATTATTAGTAGCAATAAATTTAGCAATGTTCAAATTAATTAATATATTTAATTAACAATAATTTACTTCATAGTAAATAATCTTACACAAATTAGCTGAACAAATTCTATAATTTAATTAAATAAAAAATTTCGTTTGTAAGTTTGTAATTCAAATAATTTTCAAACACTGATATAATAAAATTCCTGTAGTAAATAGGTGTGGTTCAAGGCTAGCAATCGATGGAGATTCTGGAACAAATTACAGCAAAAATGTGTGATTAAGGACTGTCTACACTATGCACCTATGTATAATATAACGATAAAATAATGAACCAGATGGATAAAGTAAAAATAAATATCCATAAATATGTATTTAAAAAATGTAATTACTTGAACAAGAAAATCTATCCTCAGAAGGATATAAGTCATCCTTGCACTGACAACTCATCTGAATTTCACAAAAGGCCCCTTCAATACAGTGTTCATCATAACGACATTTTTGTCCGATTCCTGAAAACAAGGAAATACGTTTTTATAAAATAAACAAAACAATACATTAAGTAAACCTCCAACACATTTGTCTCCATAACTGTTGAGTACATAAAACGGACCACACTGGCAAGTATCATTTTGTCCACAAAGGTAACCAAAAGTTCCACACTGGGAATTTTTCTTACAACTACGAGAAGTCACTGGTCCTAAAAATATAAGTTGATGTAGCTGTTCCGAGTTACCTAGAATAATACCTCCTGTTGTTTCGATTGTTATTAGTGTAAAAAACATGCAACTCAAGAAATACCACGCTTTCATCATGTTGTAATCTATAAACTGTATTACCTTCCGCTTATACCTATTTTATTCAATTGTTGCTATGTTCAAATGTTTGATCAATATTATCAATATTTTATTTACTTTATTGTACGCAAAAGATAGCACATACATATAGGTCTTCATAGGGGACGAATGCACCTTTTACATTTTCACCTATCTCTACTCTCCTCGCCCAAAATTGATTAATTTTGTTAAGTAAACAATATTTTTAAAATAACTTATTAAACTAATTTATAGGTCATATTTTTACTATTCGAGCGTAAGCTAAAGAAGAATTGCAATGAGATCATTTTGATGATAGTTTAATTTCATGGTTTCTTACCGTTCCGCAACGCATAGAATACGAAAATGTTGGTTTCCAGTTTCTGTTTACCTGTGTCTACAGAGTATATCTGTTGACAATTTTATTAGAATAATTTCTGGACTGATTATTATGAAATTTTACGTATATTAAGCCGGTATCTAAAATTTTTATGTTCATTCCAACGAAAAATTTGTTGACGCCTTAAAATTTTCCAAAAGTAAATACTACTTAAAATTTACATTGTCTCATGTTCCTTTATCTATGATTTATTAATAATATATCCACTCCATAGTTTTAAACTTATAAGTATATACAGAGGTTACCCTGAAAAATAAAATCGTTAAAATGAAATTTTAAAACGTACATGACAGACCCTGTTGGTATCTTGGTAACGCAGTAAAAAGTTGACAAAGCGATCATCCAATCTAAACTAAAATTTGTTCACTTATTCGTTCCAAAAATTTGATGACGTTGGGTTAACCCAAACATCCTACCAAAATGAGACATGTGCACAAAATTATAAAACCTGTGAAAAAATCCAAATTTGGCCCTAAGCTGTGATCGTCAACAAAATGAAACCCTATGTTGTGTTTAAAATGCAAAATATGGAGGACATTGTTTATCCCTCCTTCCTAAGGAGGCAAACGCTGTGAAATAAGTCTAAGAGCTCTAAAATCTCCCCAGAAAAAGTATAGTTAAAGTAAGTGGATCATAATACCCAAGGTAATACGAGGTATGGAGGCAGATTTAAAAACGATCAAAACCAAAGACTGTATCGGAAGTTCAATCATAAATCACGGTTATGGTATCCTCTCAAGGGCTTGGTCAGGCAACTGACTAGACAAACTCCAGGTATCCGAACTAGGGTCATCTGAAGATGTTCGCTATTACCGTAAATTGGATTTCATGCCTGATGTACATGCCATTCCCTGTGAAGGTAATTGAAAGTCGGGGAACTTGGCTTAACCGCCTGGTCCACGAGGAGACTGCTTCTACGCACAACCCCTTTACCTGGTTGGAGTAGAATTGGTTACTAATATGCGGACTCATGGGAACCTGGTGAACCCGTGTTTAAAAAGTCTTCCTATAGCATGTGGGGCTCTGCTATTGGGTGACTTTCTTTACCTTCCCAGTCGTGGGACCTATTGTAAAAGCCAATAGTATAGAACTAGAAAATGAGTTCAACCTCTCACTAACTGCAACCGAGGATGTTAAGCTCCTTGAGAATCCTCCAAGACCAAAACAGTCCATTCCTAAAGAATCCAAGGAGAAAACCTCCAGTACAGGATCGAAAAGGGTTCGATTTGAAGGTGATACTCCTGACGGCTATGGAACAAAAAAATCAAAAAGTCCATAGTATACGGCGGGAACTGATCGGCTTTAGTACTTTGGCCCATTTTGGCACAACCTATATGTTTTTCGCAACTTCAACGAAGAGAAGATGAAGGACTTCTGCTTCTGTAGGTGATGCCAAAGAAAAAACTTGATAGAGAAGGGGAAGAGGTTGCCTCGGATTTCCTCTCTATGTCGCAAGAAGTATCACTGTATACAAATTTCATGCGTGGTCTTCGAGGGACTTTCTCACGGCTGTGAACGTACTCTCTGTTAACAAGACAACGAAAAACATATCGACTTTAAGGAGGAAATATATTAAAGCATCACTGCAAGCTCGAACGAGCGAGCGACGCGAGTCTTCATTTCTCCAACAAGTTTGATATTGTATTTAATTATGTTTGTAAAAGGTAAAATTATGCTTCAAGCAACGAAAACTTTACACAAAATGGGCTGTTGTTATAATCCTAGAAAGTACTAAATTAAGGTCAGGTCTATAATGGAAACAAACTTGGTACATATGGCTTAAAATTCTGAATTTTTGAAATGTTTAAAATAAAGTTCAAATAATTCATGGAGTTTTATGTAAGTATATTGCGACGAAATTCCGAATGCGGACGGACGGTCCGGAATCTCGCCGATAACGTATGGGGTGGCGGCGTACTTGGGTGCCAAGCTTTGGGTCCACTAGTATCGCTGATGTCAGAAACACGTCTGGTCGACCAAGCTTATGCGACTACCTTCACGCCGCCGGGGGTGGCGCCTTCGGTCAGGAGCGGCGGTCGCTCGGGGGAGGGAGCGCCGGGGTGCTCTAAAGCCGGAGACACGGAATTCAGGTGGTGAGCCGCCGCGAAAACTCGAGAATAATAAATAAAACGGCAAGGATATTTTATACCCAAAAATAGGGTTTATTCCCTGCCACCAGCTACACGGTCTAAAATAATAAATCTTGCGGCTAATATTATACTAAACAATTACAAAACGGTTTTACAAAAACAAAGAATTAAACGTCCGGCATGGTCGTTCCTCCTGGGCGGCGACTTCTCTCAGGACGGACTCCTCTTGGCTCTGGGGGCGGCGACCTTGAGATCTGGAAATCGCGCGAAGACGGCACGGCGACCCGGGAGGGGAGCGCGGTGACGGTAACGACGCGTGCACGACGGTTTCGGCTTTTGACGGTGACAAAAAAAAAACGCGGTGACGGTGACACGGTTTTTCGCTCGGGAGCGGCGATTCCAAAACCGGTACTAAGACGGGCAGACTACCCAAATACGCCATATTTTTGTGTCGTAAATTCAACGCCACTTTTCCACCTTTGCGATTTACCACTTTGCATCAGAACGCAGTCTGCCATATCAAAACACAACGTAGGGTCCCATCTTGTTGACGATCACCGTTTATGGAGAATTTTTCAGATTTTCGCGGGGGTTTTCAAATTTTGTTCACGTGTCAATTTTTGGCGGAATGTTTGGGTTATTACACGACGAAAAAATAGACGGAAGAATAGAAAAAATGGACGAAATATAGACGCAAGAAAAAGAAAATGGACGAAAAAATGGACGCAAGAAATGAGAAAATGAACGAAAAAATGGAAATGGACGCAAAAATAGACAAGCAAAAATATCGCATAATCATAACTAAAAATTCCAAAAGAAAGCAGAAGTAAACAAGAATGAAATAGAAGAAATCAGAAAAGAAATGAAGGACGCAAAAACAAATTTGAAAAATATGGAAAATATTGTCGGACGAAATATGGTCTTAATGAAGCATCAGTTAAAGAGTGAGTTAGAAAAATCAATGGAATGTATAGAAGATCGAATGGAGAACAAAATGGAAGATGGAATCAAATCTAAAAAGCGCTAGGGACACCTCAAACGTGGGCGCCAGAAAGATCTCAAACACAACAGAGATCTCCTCATCAAAATGTACAGGAAAACTAAAAACACCCAGTACATTAGGTGATGTACTGACTGGGAAGAAAGGGGAGAAAAACTCATCGAGTACTTCAGCAGCGTACTTTCGAAACCCGAGAAGAACTATTGTGCTACGAGGAAAGAGTTGTTGAAGAATGTTAGGGCTATTGAACACTTCCATAAATATCTCTATAGACGCGCTCCACAATAATGCGGACTCTTTGTTAAGAAGACCGTGTAAGAATACTTAGAAAAGACTAAGAGGGGGACGTGGATATCGGACCGTTGATCAAATGGAAAAAAGGTGGTGTAGAATGGCCGGACCGGACGGAAATATCAAACGAGTCACTCTCTTTTAAAACGTTATGGTCTCAATGGAACTCCCTGCGTGGCGAGAAAGGATTGTTTAAACGAGCTTGGGAGAGTCCGGATGGAAAACATACCACCATGTACTTGGTAGTTCCGATCATCAGAATCAAGAAAGTACTTCGACAGATATACGGAGATTCTAGTACTCATTTTGGAATGAACTTGATTTTACTGGGTCCGTCGTCGAGAAGACGTCGAGAGCTGGTGCAAAAAATACGACCTATGCGGCGGTCAAGAAACCTAGAACTAGGGCAAGAAGGCCGAAGCAACAAAATAACGTCGCTTTCGAAAGAATTGCAGTTGACATAGCAAGTCCTTTCCCGGTGACCGAGAACATGAAGAAGTACATAATGGTCGTCAGCGGTTACTTCAGCAAATGGCTCGAAGCTTATGTCATACCGAACCAAGAAGCCATGATGATTGCAAAAATGCTGATTGATAATTGGATCAGCAAGTTTGAGGTCCTAATGGAAATCCATTCGGACCAAGGCAGAAACTTCGACTCAAACCTATTCCAAAGGATTACTGAAATACTAGGGATACGGAGGATACGGAGTACTCCGTTGCACCCGCAGTTAGATGGAATGGTAGAATGGTTCAATCGTACCATGGAAGAACGTCTTTTGAAGGTGATGGCCGAAAATCAGAAAGATTGGGATCGACATCTTTCACTGTTCCTAATTGCTTATCGATCAGCTGTCCACGACACGACGGGTCAGACACCGGCGCGCATAGTTTTCGGAAGAGAACTTTGTCTACCTTGTGACATCTTATTTGGCTCTCCGAGTGAAGAACCAAAGAAGGTCATAGATTACATCAATGACTTGAAGGAGAAGCTACTGAGCGTTCACGAAACGGTGCGCCACAAGATCAAGGTGGCGAGTGACAGAATGAAAACACGCTACCACCTTAAGGGTAACTCAGTAGGATTCCAAGCAGGGGATTTAATACGACTTTATAATGCCCGAAGAAGGAAAGGTTTTTGTCCGAAGTTGTCACCCGACTGGGAAGGTCCATACACTGTCGTGACGAGAATCAAAGATGTCGTTTACAGAATTCGAAGAAGGCCGAAGACGAAAATGAAGATTGTTCATTTAGACCGTCACGTGAAGTACAACAGTGACACCGTTGACGTTTTTGATCACGACGTTCAGAAAATCGTCCTATTCTACCATCCTCTACGGTACGACAACACTTCGACCGCTGTTCGACCATCACAATTCAAGCCGGCAAGTAGAAAGTTGTGGTAAACCAGCGCTCACTTTTATGTGAATAAATTGCTTCTTAGCCGGTGAATTCTTATAAATTACTTGTACAG